CACACAGCTGGGATGTGGCATTGAGCCTGGGCCATCTGGCTCTGAGGCCATGGCTGCGCAGGGCGGAGGGACTTATGTGCATGCGTGTCTGCATTGCAGCGTGCATCCCTGTTGACGCGTGCTCACGTCCAGCATGTTCCCCACTGCCCCTCCCGGAGCGCTGGCCTTGTAGGCTCCGGGGCAGGCCTGCCCTGGGCCACGTGACCTGCTCTGGCCCTGGCCCGGCAGCTGCTCCCCAGATGTGCCCACAGCGCGGTCTTCCAGCCGCCAGGCCGGCGCCTCTGGGCTGGGACTGCTGGAGCTGCGGGGGAGAGACCTTTGGCTCTGGCTGTCCCCGCCCCTCCTTGTAACAGGAGACCACAGGCGCCCCCTCCACACTCTGCCCCCAGAACCCTGAGCTCAGCCAACACTGCCTCTCTGCCCGTCATACTGAGAACAAAAGCCAAACTCCTCCCCAGCCTGTGGCCCTGCCACCACCACCGACCACATCTCCTGCCCCTCCCTGTCTCTCGCCAGCCACATGGCCTCCTTTACTAAACCAGCGTGGGCCTATGTCAGGGCCCTTGCCCTTGCTCTTCCCTCTGCCCAGAACTCTCATCCACATCTTTACAAGACTTCTCGTTCTTCAAGTCTCAGGTCAAATGTCACCTCCTGGCAGGCCTCCTTAGAACCTCCTTTGGCTATTCACTTTCTTTCACATTCCTCTGCTCTTAATTATTCATAGAATTTATTACCATCTGAAATGGTCTTTGTTTTCTTGTATTGTCCATCCTCCATATCCACCCCCAAGACAGGCCGCCCTCCCCCCCACCACCACCACCACAACCCCCACCCCCGGGCCCCAGGCCTTGAGGACAGGAACCCTGGCTCCTTTGGTCACTGCTGTGTCCCTAGAGCTGAGCACAGGCTGGCCCAGAGAGGGTAAGCAGCTTGCTCAACGTCACACAGCGTAGTACTTAGAATAGAGAAATGTTCAGAGTAACTGTTGAATTAATAAATTGTTACCTTAGCGTCCTCAGTTTCCTCATGTGCAAAATGGAGGCAAATTTGAACATAATCCACAGAGTTACACCACTTCAGTACTTAGCACATGCAAAGCACTCAGAAATGGGAAGTAGAACAGACATGTTTTGTGTCCTTCCAGGGGTCTCATTTTTCCATCCCCCCAGGCCAGCCGGAGGCTGTGGATTCCCTCATGAGGGGTGTGGAGGCTTCAAGCTCTCTGTCCTTAACAGGCCATGGGAACTCTGCTAACTCCCTTTCCCGTTCTGGTCCTCAGTTTCCCCATCCGCAAAATGGGGAGTGTCACTGGCCCTCCCTCCTAAGGGTTCTGTGCTGGGCTCCTGGGTCATTTCGGGGAGTGGAGGGGTCCAGGCTTCGGTCCACCTTTTGGCTCCCATCCTGTTTCCAAAGACGCCCCAGAACAATGGACAGGGCCGCAGGAGCCTGCCAGTCTGCGCCCCTCCCTGGGTCCCTGCAGATGCAGGGGTGGGGCCTTCCTGCAACCTGACAAAGGACCACTGCTGCCCTGGCGTCTCAGGGGCCAAAGGGAAGGGCAGAGTCAGGGCCCCGGGGGCTGCCATCTTAGGTCACTCAGCGTGGGCCAAATCTGCAGGGCTACACAAACACACTGCTGTGCACACCCACAGTGACACGAATGCACACACCTACACAACCAACACAGCAGATGCATGTAAACTGACACAACTGACACATCCGACGGACAGCAACACCTCAACACGCAGCCGCCAGAGCAGCCTGCTGAAACGCACAACACAGCAGGACACCATCCCATGCAGTCAACACACCGACCTCAAGGCACACAACCAAAACGGAAATCTGCACAACCAACACACCAACAAAAAAACAGAGATCAGGGAGGCAGCACAGCCAAACACCCAACAACCACGCAAAAGCAACACACCACACACCCTCAACAAACACAACACACAGATAGATGCACCCTACACCACGACACACACACATTCACCAAACACAACATATGCTTACACCCATATCAGTATTGCTCACACCACGATGGCGACACACTGCCCACATCCTTCCAGAAAATGACCAAATGCAAATCAAGCCGGCTTCCCCCATGCACCCCCTCCCCACATTGCACATACCCAACCAACATCCATCTTCACCAGTTCAAAGACCCCATTCTGCCACCTACTACCCGCAAAGCCTTTTTAGATGTAGACACAACCCCCAACACACACACACACAATTCAGAATCCTGCACAAGCCCCAAAGACACACAACCACTCAACCACACCCACCCAGACCCTGGGAACTCATACCAAGGAACAGAACTTGGGTCTGGGCCCCGGTCAGGGCAGAGGTGTGTGGGCTGGTCTGACTCCGCCAGCCACAGAAGCTGATGCCACCGGGCAGGAGCCCCGAGGCCAACCAGCCATACCCACTGTAGAGCCCCTGTTTCAAGACTCCCCTCAACAGGACCCTTAAGGTGGAACGAGGGAGGCTGGGCAAGAGGCGTCCGTTGGAGGCTGTGGTGGTCTCCCCATATGTGCACTGGGGGATGGACAGAGGCGCAAGAGGCCCCCTGAGCAGAAGCAGAAGCCCCTCGCCTGCCGGGTGCCCAGCCCAGCCCTCCCTTGACTCACCTGCCTCCGTACACCTGGCTCCCCGTCCTGCCCTGGGGCCCGGAACCAGGAACCAGCTAAGGGCGCGTCTCTCAGGGCCTGCCCGGCTCCCTGCCCACCCTGCAGAGCCCGGAGCAGTCCCCACCCTCTCTGCTCACCCCAACCCTAAGGACCCTGTCACCAGGGGTGGCACCTCCAGCTGCACCCTTGCCTCAGGTCACGGGTGTGGCTATATGCCTCAGAAACGGTGACTCATGACAATCTCTTAAGTCTTTTAAAAAGCGTTATTTTTTTGCTGACGCAAAAGCAGAGCTGTTCTGACTAAAAGGAAGTTGACGTCTCAGAAACATGGAAGGAAGGGACACTTTGCTGGAAGACAGCAGAGTGAGGGCCCTCAGAGAGCCCAAGAGCCCTGGCCTCCCATCCCGGCCCACTCCACTTCACTTTCTCGTGTCTCAGTTTCCCCACCTGTCAAAGTGGGGATGGTATGAGTTCCCATCTCTTTGAGGACTGAGGTCAGGCACAGAGCGCTTAGATCAGTGCCTGGCAGAGTCAGCCTTCAGCAGACACTAGTTATTATTGTGGCTGTGACCATTCCACCTGTCCGAGCCGTAACCCCTGTTAAGTAATCAGGTGGATGCTGCTCCACAGACTTACGGGACTTTAGAATCAGGAAACGCGGGCTGGTCATTCCTGGAACGATCACTGCACACCGACTGCGCCGAGCCCCGCAGTGAAAGGACGAGGCACAGGTTCGTGCTTTTGGCAAGCTGTGTTCAGTTGGGAGTAACCAAATGGAACAAACAACCCTGGCCAGGTGGTTGGTTCCTGGCTGCTGTGTCCCCACGCTGGGGACCCAGATGCCATCCATAGATGGGCGGCTGCCATCCCAAGGGGGCACTCTGTAGGCATTAGAAAGAGAAGCCCCTTATTCTAAGTAGATGAAGCCACCTTCGTACTCCTCGCAACATGCTTGCTGGCCTGCAGACATGGTCCCTGCTTGGGGAGCTCGTGGTCTGGTGGGAGAGGCAGTCCCCCTCCAGCTCCCAGTGCTGTGATGGGGGAGCACAAGGGGCTGTTGGAGGCGTGGCCTGAGAGAGACTCCAGTCAGCTAAGGGAAGTCAGGGGGGCCTTCTCATAGGAGGAGGTGATAGCCAGCTGACATGAATAAAAGGTGAGCAAGGGTGAGGCAGGTGCTCCTGAGCCCCGGTGTTTGCATATCTGGGATTTCACAGGACACAGTTGCCACATCAGACTGCAAGAACTTCAAAGTTCAATAATATAAAATGTGATGCGGATGTGGGAAACAACTCATCCACAGCTGGTGAGTGTGTAAACTGGTGTGAGCACTTGAGAGCCCAGTGTGGCCGTACTGAGTAAAAACGAACATCGGAACACCCTCTGACCCAGCAATTCCCTCCCACGGACATACCCTGAAAGTCCCGCACCCTGGATGCCAAAGACGCGCGCAAGGACGTGCCAGCCGTCCCGATAGCAGCAAGGCGCTGAAAACTACGGGCTTGTCCAACAACAGGAGAGCAGGGAAAGACCATGACGGCGGAGCAGGACACGGCAGTCCGTGGGACACAGCGAGACCTACGTGCATTCTTCTGCATACATGCAAAAAATATGTTGCTTAGGGAAAATGCAGAAGGATTTTTTAAAATAAAAAAAATTAAAAAAATTTAAACACACACACAAACAATACTAATAGATTTCCGTGAGTAAAAGTATAAGAAACAGGCCCGACTCAGGATGCTAGGTGGGGGTGGAAGGGTGGCAGGGGCACAGGTGACAAGAAGCTAGCACTGTCTGTGACGTTGTTCTTTAAAGAAGACGGGAGGGGAGCGATACAGCCAACTGCCCGGGTATTAGCTCTGGCGTTGGGAATATTCCTCGGTCGTTCTTACATTTCATAAAACAAAGTCAGGCGAGCAAGAGGGAAAGGGGCATTTCCAGGCAGAAGGGTCAGCGCAGGTCCAGGCTGGGGGCTAGAGACGGGGGCGGGGGCGGCGGGTAGGCTGGCCAAGGGCCCTGCGGGGGGGGGCGGGGGCGGCGCGGTGGCCCTCTGCTCCCGCAGCCACTGGCCGTGACTTGGGGCCGAGCTGGCGGGGCCCCGCACCCCGGGCTTTGGGGACGCGCACCCGCCCGAAAGACATTCCTGGGCGTGGGGCCCCGGGGCCGCGGGGCCACCCGGGGCTGGGCCCGCTGCGCCGGGCAGATGGGCCGCCCCGGCTTCCCGCGCTCGGCCCGTGGGAACCGAGCCCGGCGTGCGGGGGCGAGGGCGCCGGGAACCGCCCCGGGGGAGCGGCGCAGATGGGCGGGGGCCGCGGGCGGCGGCAGATGGGTGCGAGGCCGGCCTGGGGCCGGGCGACAAAGGCTAAGGGCAGATGTTTGCGGCCAGATGTTCGCGGGAGGGGGGAGCCTGGGAAAACTCGGCTCGCCTTCCCGCCGCCCTCCCCTGCGGCTGCTGGGGGCGGGCCTGGAGCAAGGTGCGGCTGGTGTGGCCATCGCCGGGGGCAACTGGGCAGGGGCCGCCGGGGACAGGGACTGAGGGCTTCTCTGGTCGAAGCGTTTAACTACTAGCGAGCCCCTGTACCCTCCGACCCCAACCGTCCCACCGTCTTGCTGTGAAGTACCAGAAAGACATCTCAGGAACCTGGTGTGAACGCCCCTCCCCGTGTGTATCAGTGCGGTGTCCTGCACGCGAAGGTGTCAGCGCAGCCCCCCGCCCCGGCTGCATCACCAGCACCACCACCGTCCTGGCAGCAGCGTGCTGGCTGACGTTTATTCAACCGTTCTCTGATTTTGTTCTCACAGCCACCCTCGCGCAAGGTGCTCTGAGTAACACCTCCAATGGAGGGGCGAGGAACACGGAGGGCCTGAGTGCTAGGTGACTCGGCGAAGGTCGCAGCAAGTATGTGGCAGGGCTGGGTTGGAGTCCAGGATCCTGGAGACTGTGGTTCCCACAGACCACAGCTCCTTTGGCTTCCTGTGTGCTAAGCTCTTTGCAAACGCCATTCCTTCATTCAGTTGGCAAATATTTGTGGAGCAACCGCTGCACTCCAGCACTGGGGTGTCATAGGGAGCAGAAGTAACAGAAGTCCCCGTCCTGGCGGGGGTAGGCGGTGGTGGTTTATATTTGGGGAAGGGAGCACACAGTGAACAGCGTAAGTGCAATATATGTTATCTCGTCTGGTGATAAATATTATGTGGAAAAAGAAGTCAGGAAAGGAGGGATAGGGAGGGCTGGGGTTGGGGTGGGTTCAATCTTAAATGCGGGTGGTGGTGGTCAGCAAAGGCCTCTCTGAGAAGGTGATATTTCAGTAAAGAACTTTTTCTCTCACTTCCTCCAGCTATTAGGGGAAAAATATTCCAGGCAGAAGTCACAACCAGTGCAAAGGTCCTGAGGCAGAAGTGTGCCTGGTGAGTTCAAGAGGTCAATACGACTTTAGCTGAGTGAGCAAGGAGGAGGGTGCTAGGAAGGGAGGTCAGGGAGATATTGGGGCACGGGGCATAGCTGGATCATGTAGGCCCACGTAGGCCACAGTGAGGACTTTGGCTTTTACTCTGCGTGAGACAGGAACCAGGGGAGGGTTTTGAGCAGAGGAGGATTGTGACCTGACTCGTGCTGAATCTTGACAACTCTGATCCAACCCCTGCAAGGTGGTTATCCCCACTGTGTGTGAGGCTCTGCCCTGCCCCTCGAGGGCTCGTGTTACTCCATTTGTATAATTACAGCAGTTGGTTCAGTTCAGAGTTTCTAACCTTGAGGCTCCTGGGGTGGGTTTCAAAGTTGGGTGAATTTGATGTGTTTTTTTGGAGGGAAAGGATCCACAGCGTCTAACACATTGCCAAAGGAGCGTGGAAGGATAGGAAGTGTTCTTAGCAGCCTTGTTCATAAATGCCCGTGGAAAGGAGAATGGCTAAGTCAACTACGAAATGCCACGTGGCCCTGGGAGATCATGAGACAGCGCCCCCGCTCTCAGGCATTTATACTAAGGATACACTCAAATGTGTGAAATGCTGCAGGTACAGGAGGAACAGCAAGCTGGGAAGACCCGTATGTCCCTCACTGGGGGTTCGTTGAATAAAGGGTGGTCTCTCCATAGAATGGGGCACACGCGGCTGTTAAAGAGAACAGAACGAGGAAGCTCCCTGTCACCCTGAGCCGCTAAGGTCTCCAGGGTGCATTGTTAACCAGAAAAGACCAAACCAAAACGTTGCAGAGCAGTAAGCATTGACTGCACCCCTTGTGTTTACAAAAGAAGAAACAGACAAGAAAGCAGATTGTATACGTGTTGCTTATATCTCACTAGGAAACTGGCCACCGTGGCTGCCTCTGAGGGGGAAAAGAGGGAGGCTGGTACTTTTTAAATTTTGTGCCATGAGCATGTACTACTTAATCAAAAATGAAATGGGGGGCTGGCCCGGTGGCGCAGCAGTTAAGTTCCCATGTTCTGCTTTGACGGCCTGGGGCTCTCAGGTTTGGATCCCGGGTGTGAACATGACAGCACTTGTCAAGCCATGCTGTGGGTAGGTGTCCCACATAAAAAGTAGAGGCAGATGGGCATGGATGTTAGCTCAGGGCCAGTCTTCCTCAGCAAAAAGAGGAGGATTGGCGGCAGATGTTAGCTCAGGGCTAATCTTCCTCAAAAAAAAAAAAATAGAAAAAAGAAATGAAAGTGTAAAGGGGAGAGGTCTGGACCAAGAAGAGATTAAGGGAGAGTGCTATGTCCCTGGTTTCTCTCCAACTCTGAGATTGCGTGGTTTGGAGACGTCTGTGACTAACGAGTGGGAGAAATTCACCTGGCCCCATGATTGGGCCTGAGGATTGCTCACAGTCAAAGCCACCTGCAAGGCGGGGGGGTGGGGTGGGGGTGAGGGGAGGTCGGGGGTGGGATTTGGAGGTAGTGAAGGCCTTGTCACTGGGCTGGGGGCCCAGAGACAAGAGCATTTCTAGAATTTACTTTTTTTTTCTATTTAACAGCTTTGGGATGATTATTATATTGAGATATATATCTTATTACATTGAGATGTAATTCACATATCATACAATTCACTGACTTAAAGTGTACAACTCAACGGTTTTTAGTATATTCAAAGATTTGTGCAATTATCACCACAATTCATTTTAAAAATTTTCATCACACAAAAAGAAATCCCATACCTGTTGGCAGTCACGCCCCATCTCCCCCCGCCTCCCCCAACCTCCTCAGCAGCCACTAATCTACTACTTTTCTGTCTCTATAGATTTGCCTATTCTGGGAATTTCCTATAAATAGAAGAATACAATATGTGATCTTTTGTGACTGGCTCCTTTCACGTAGCATAACGTTTTCAAGGTTTCTCTAGAATATAATTTCTAAATACTCAGGGACACCCGCAAGCTGTAGTGGGGGTTACCTCTGGGGTTGGGGTGGAAAATCAGATTGAAGGTGGACTTCCCCTTTTTTTGAATTAATTATTTTTTTATTGAGGTAACATTGGTGTATAATTTTTTTTTTTGCTTTGCCCTTTTTGTTGCATGTACTTCTGTGTGATTTGCTTTTTCATCAAAATGTGTTTCTTGTATTAAAGCTGCTTAAAATGATAACATATTCATTATAGAGAATTTGGAAATATAGATCAGCTCTAAACAAAAGTAAAATCATCCTCAGGGCCAGCTGGGTGGCACAGCGGTTAAGTTCCCACGTTCCACTTCGGCGGCTCAGGGTTCGCTGGTTCGGATCCCGGGTGCAGACATGGCACCACTTGGCAAGCCATGCTGTGGTAGGTGTCCCACATATAAAGTAGAGGAAGATGGGCATGGATGTTAGCTCAGGGCCAGTCTTCCTCAGCAAAAAGAGGAGGATTGGCAGCAGTTAGCTCAGGGCTAATCTTCCTCAAAAAAAAAAAAAAAATCCTCAATCTTATCCCTAAACTCATAAATGCAGAGAGAAAACTTCTGAATGTTTAAGAGGAGGGCTGGATTTGCACCAGGGGCAGGAGAGGCATCTTCTGCCTGGGGAGCAGCAACAGCAGTGTGTGTGGGGGGGATCCAGTGATATTTCCAGATTCCTTCTAAAGAGGCAATGATTTTGATTTTTCTGTTACTTGCCGTAACTGGTAAATACCCCTGGTCCCAGACGCCTGCTGTGAATGCCCCCCCCCACACACCCCTCCCTCCGTCTCTGTTACTTATCACAAGGTGGAATTAAGTATTTATTTGGGGAATTATTTATTCATGAGCATTTTGATTTCTGGAGGGTATAGACCAAGGAGGAATAACAAGTCCAGCCCTGCTGAGTTATAGAACAAGCAATGTGGGTGAAATGTGAAACCAGGCAGGGCCCGGCCTGGCACAGAGCGGATGCTCGATCGACTGTAAGCGTTGAGGAAACAGCCTCTGTGACCTGAGAATAAAGATGTGTATTTCATTCCTCAGTTATTAAGTACCTACTGTGTGTCAGGCTCTGGCCAAGTCCTAGGGAGAGATCAGTAACATTCATGTCTCCTTCCCTTCCTGGCTTCCCTAGGGACTTTTGTCTGGCCTTTTCCAGGATCATTATCTAATTCAATAATTGAGATGATAATAATGACGGCAATGATCTAACGGAGTGGTTAAGATTTCAGGCTCTGGGAGGGGGCCAAACTGGACTCAAATCATGGCTCCACTGCTTTGGGGACTACGGGGCTTTGGGCACACAGTCCATCTTCCCTGGGTTTTAGGGTCCACCCGGTAAGGTTGCGGTGGGGGTGCACCGTGACAATGATGCAACACGTGCTCCGCTCTGCTTGGTCTGGAGTAGAACAGTGGTGGTTACTGAGAGTTTATCATTGGTCGCACTCTCCGTTTGTCCGCAGTCCACAGTTCCTGAGCCTGTCACCTAGCACCATTCCCAAAGGTATCCTCCCAGCCACACCGTGACTCCAGTTCTGCAGGTGAGGAAGCTGAGGGCGCAGACTGACGAGGATGGACAGGGGTTGAGGACATGGGCGTTCTCACTGTCTGACTCCCAGGACCAGGGGCAAATGTGGCTGGGGGCTGGGAACGAGGAGCTCTTCTCCACCCTCCCCCTCGCTTCCCTGGGAAAATCCAACAGGTGGTGGGGCCCCAGCCCTGGGGGCCATTATGCGGGGCCTGGGAGGGTCGGAGGGCCCAGTGTGTGTCTGGGAGAAGATGGATGCCTTCATTACCATGTGAATCCTGGGAAACTGCTGCCCAGGCTGGGTGGTGGGTGGGCGTGGGCCGTGGGGCCAGGGGCTTGGTGTTCTCAGGCCTGGACCACACAGCAGCTGGGAAGGGGGTCCCCGTGGATTCCTGAGGGACCCATTAACAAAAACAGATAATGGGATTTCCCCTCTTGTTTAATTTCTTATTTTAGGACATCTCCATCCGGTGGGGCTTAAAAGAGACACAGATTGAAAACAAAAAGATTTTTTTAAAGGAAGAAAAACCCTTTTTTTCCTTCTCAGTTGCAACTTTCCCACCGATTGCACTGCACATTCGGGCCTGAACAGTTAACGTCAGAGCCTTTCACAGCACGGGCACAAATCAGCGTCTCTGTGCGGGCATTTTCCAGCGCTGCTCCCTGAATGGCTCTTTCATTCATGTAAAATACGTGTTAGGTAAATCCTGGGTGATTAGCAAATAGTTGCCAGGCACATTGGGAGAAGCAGGTTTTAGGCTTAAGATACAAAGGTGTCATCAACTTGGCTGGAGCAGAAAGGACTGGACAGTGTTTTGAAAGGAGGCAGGTGGTAGAGACATAATAATAGTAATTGGAATAACAGCAACAATAACCAGTGACTGTGTACCCCCATTTTACAGATGGGAAAACTGGGGCTTCGGAGTGACCCAGGCAGAGGGGAGCGTGGACCATAGAACGACACTGGAACACACAGGCTCACGCGCACGTGGGCAGAAAGAAGGTCGAACAGCACGAGTTCCCCAGCTCGTACAAGCAGAGCCTTTGCGAGCACCATCTTACCAACCGGAACACTTCCGCAGTGCACGCACGCAACCTCCCTCCCTCTCACCTTCTCTCTCTCACCCCCACCAGTGCAGGCGCTTGCTCACAAACTTCTCACAACCACACACACTTACACACACCAAGTTTGTTCCAGATGCAGAAGCAAACACAACCAGGTAGAAACCCACCTACAGCACCATCCCACAGAGGATTCCAGCATCCCCACGCTCACCCACACGCTTGGACCATCCCGACACTCACGAGAATACACGCTGTCTTTCACACACAAGCGGTAGCTGCTGAGAGAACCTGTCAAGCGGAGAGGACCTGGGGCCAGCAGAAGGCGACTCGGCCCCTCCCCCAGCCCCACACCTCGGCAGCTGGCTCTCCAGCCTTGGCCCCCTGGGTTTTCTCCACTCCCCCACCATCTGTGACACGTGTGTCTTCTCTGCCTCCACCTCCCCTCCCCTACTCCAGGGCCCCCGCTGGACCCTGGGGTAGCCTGAGAAGGGGTGGGCACCTGCCTGCGGGGGAGAGGCACGTGGAGGCCTTAAATGCAGCGCCAAGGGGCTCAGCCTTATCTGGGGTGCTCCCTCCCCCCTGGGCTGGTCCCAGGCAGGCACAGGGCCGGGCCACTCCACAGCTTTGAGGAGGGCAGGGCGCAGAGGGGAGGACGGCCCCTTGCAGACCCCAGCGAGCCTCATCCGGCACCATGCGGGGGGGTCTGCCTTCACATGCAGATGGGCTGTTTGTCTCACTGGGTCTGTCTTAAAATGATAAAGAGGTTGGATGCTGTCTGGGTACCTGATGAGGTGATGACAACTGACCAAAATGGGGAGGGGGAGGTTGTTAACTGTGGAAAGAAAAGAGATGTCAAAATAGTATGCACTGCAGATATGATTTGTGTTAAAAAATACATAATAAACAGAAAAAAAGTCTGAAATCTAAGTTAAGGTGTTAATGGCAGTGACCTCTGGATGGCAGGGTTATGCTGTTTTAGTTTTTCATTTTTTTACGTATACTGTAATTTTCTACAAGGTATGTGTATGCAGCTTCTGGATAATAAAAGGTTTTATAAATGAGTATTTAATGACAGGAAAAATGACAAGGGGGTGGTGGCCTCCTGGGAGCCCAGAGCCCGGGAAGGCTCCTTATTGCCGTGTGGGCAGGTCCTTCTCTGTGCCTTTACTTCCTCATCTGTTGATGGAGACTCACCACGTGGAGGGGGACGTGAGCGGTAAGGATGTAATGCATGGAAACGCTTGGAGCGGGGCGGCGCACAGTAAATGCTCAGTGATGGTGGCTGCTGCCACTCTTCCGAGAAGGCTGTTTACACTGCCCGGTAGAGACTGGACTCCTCCACCAGGAGGGGTGGGTGTGCATGAGTCCCCTAGGCTGGCTCATGTGCAGATTCACACACATATAGGTCTGCCCAGGCACATATGTGTGCCTTGTGCACACCCAAAGTGTGTACATTGCATGAGGCGCATTGCACTCGTGTGGGGGCATCAGGCACATACACAAGTGTGTGCAAACAGGATCACAGGATCTTGGCTCTGAGAACACTGGAGCATGGGACATTCTGTTTCAACCTCAGTCCTCTATCCCTGGCACTCTCAGCCCTCTGGTCCCTTCAGCTCAGGGATGCTGGGAATTTAGGCTTCTTCCTGGTACCTGACCGGACCCAGGGACCTGGAGGGGGTCTTAGGACATTTGAAGGGTGGGAGTGGTGCAGACTGAATAACCTCTAAGAAAGAGGAAATTGCTAAGTAGAGCCGAGACTCCTGGGTTTGTGGTCCTGCCATGCTGCAGAGGGACATCTGGATGACCCTGGGTCTATCCTCTGTCCCGCTTTGAGTCCTCGGTCTCTCCCGTGCATGCACCCAGTGGGTCCTTGCCTGTTTATCACTCAGAGCATCATCATCATCATCACTGGCTTGGAGTCCCCTCCATGACTTCCTGGCCTTCTCCATTTGTAAAGCTGAGGAAGAACTATGTCACGCCCCTGCTGAGAATCCTTCCTTGGCTCCCCACTGCCTTCAGGATAAAGCCTCCGCTCCCTGGCCTGGGCTGGTGGGATCTGCTCCCCTTTCCTCCTCTCTCCTTTCTTTTCTTCACTCTGCTGGCCTTTTCTCTCTGCTCAGACTGGGACCCCCTCCCGGAAGTGGTGACGAAGGGTCAATGAGGGCAGGGAGCTTCCTCTTCTCTTCTTTGTATTTAATTTGAAGTCCAACAAATTTGCATTCAAATCTCATCTTTGCCATTTTCTAGTTCTTTGTGACCTAGAAAGGACTGTCTCTGAGTTTTAGATGCCTCCTTTGCCAGATGGAGATAATAGTTAATCTTTCTTTTTGGGTTTATTTTTATTTTCAACTCTATCTGTTTTTGAAAAATACGTTCACTTGGCTCAAAAATTTAAAAACACAAGATATACAAAAGATTACACATACAGGAAAAATTTCCTTCAAGCCACCCCGCTCCTTTGTATATTCCTTGCCCACACGTTTATTCAAATATCTTTTTACACATCTTGTAGATGCTTCCATAAATATCATCTGAGGACCTGCCATATGTTCTCCATGGATTGTTTCATTCAATCCTTACAGCCACCCATGAGGTCGATGAGGAAACTGAGGCTCAGAGACGAGAAGCCACACCGTTGGTAAGCAGTAGACCCAAGATAACGTGAGCGTGTCCATTTACCAAGCGCCTGCTATGTCCCAGGCCCCAAGATTGGCCCAGACATGGGACACTCAACCGGTCATTCAACAAATACTGAGAGCCGTCATCTTTCCACAAATACTGAGAGCCGTCATCTTTCCAGCGCTGGGGCAGGAGCTGGGGCTACCACGGGGTACGTGGGAATAAAGGCCCCGCCCTCCCAGAGTTTATATCCCAGTGGAGACTGCCCATCGCTGTTGCCTCACTTTCCAGGTAAGAAAACGAAGGAAAAGAGGCAAAGAAACTACCCTGCGATCACAGTGATAAGAAAAGATCTGGGAGGGGCTGGCCCCGTGGCCGAGTGGTTAAGTTCCTGCGCTCCGCTGCAGGCGGCCCAGTGTTTCGTTGGTTCGAATCCTGGGCGCGGACATGGCACAGCTCATCAAACCACGCTGAGGCAGCGTCCCACATGCCACAACTAGAAGGACCCACAACTAAGAATATACAACTATGTACCGGGGGGCTTTGGGGAGAAAAAGGAAAAAAATAAAATCTTTAAAAAAAAAAAAAGCCAAGAAACGAGCTGGGATAAGCAGCTCCGTTTTATGCTGTGAAAACTGGGGCACAGAGAGGTGATTTGCCGAAGGAAACCGAGCTAGCAGGCGGCAGACCCGGGATTCCAGGTCCCCGGTCGCCCGGCCCTTCCCCGGGGGCGTGTCCACGTGGCTCCGCCCCGCCCCGCCTCGCGCGGCCGCGTTCCTGGCAGCCCCGGCGGCCGTTTCCTGCCTGCGTCGCTGGGCGGGCGGCAGGCCCATCTGGCGGCCCCACGGGGCGGCGCGAGGAGGCGGCCCAGACTCGCTGGAGCCAGGCGCCGGCCTGGGCCCCCCTGCCTGCCCGGAGAGCCCAGGTGTGGCCGCGCCGGGGGTGGGGGTGGGGCCTTCCTTCCCGCTCGGCCCTTCCTGACGCACCCGGGCAGGATGCAGCCTCCTCCCGCCCCCTCCGCAGCCTCCGCCTCCCGCGACCCGGCCTGCAATCGCGGCGGGAAGCCTAGCCGCGGGAGAGCGGGGCGGGCAGGGCGCAGCAGCCCCATCTCTGGTATCCACTCCTGAGGAGACCCCCGGGCTAGTCTTGCCCTTTTTGGGGTGAACTCTGTTTCCCAACTTGTGGCAGGACAGCAGGACTCTGACCTCCTTGGGTCTCACCCAGACAGGGCTGCGGGAGCCATATACACCTCTCCTGCCTTAGGTCTTGACATTATCGTTGACTTTACCGTATCCGTTTATTCAGCCATTTCAAGTCTGTCTCCCCGATCACAGCTTCAGCTCCGGGGCGGGCGCTTGGCTTGTGCTCCTCGCTGTGCTAAGCCCACCTCATACCTGGGGCTGAGGTCTGAAAGGGCATCTCAAGGCTTTACCCCCCAAAGTTGGAGCCCCGCTTGGAAGGGAGTCTTACCCATTTCACAGCTAAGGAAACAGGACAGAGTGGGCAGGCCTGCCCCAGTCGCCTTGTGCAGCCAGTTCTCCCTCAGACGCTGAACTTCTCCAACACCGCCCCCAAGAAAGGGAACCACAATCTAGTGTCCTGATGTATGTCAAACAGCACCTCTGATGAACATCAAGGTCCTGGAAGCCAGGCACCCTGTTTCAACAGCCCCCTCCCGCCGGGGCACTTAATGTCTCTCTGCTTCAGTTTCCTTGATCTGTAAAAATGATGGTACCTACCTCACAGGGTTGTTGTAACGATTACATAAATATTTCTAACATACATAGCAGGATGCTAGACACGTTAGATACAAATGAGACGGAGTGTCTATTCACCCTGAGAGGGACTCCCAGCAGGGCTGGCCTTCCCCCTGGAGCCCCCTCCCCTCCGCTGTAGTCAAGGGAGACTGAGGCCACAAAGAGGGACACCTGACAAATGAGGGGCAGAACTCGGGAGCGCTGCAGCAGCTTCCCAAGAACGCACCCCCACCCTGGGGTGAGGCTGGCAGTAGGCCCACCCAGGGCCCTGGCCAGCCACCCACCCCCGCCTCTCCACGGCGTGCAGGCCCAATCCGTGCCCGGCCTGCTGCCATTTTTCCATGGGACTCTGGCGGTGGCGGTTCACATCTGGAGTCTAGACTCGGAGGCTCTGCGGGCCGGGCCTACCGCCCGGGCTGGGCCGTGCTGCCCGCTGTTTGCTCAGCTGAAGCTGGTTAATTGGAATTAGAGTGGCCTCTGCGGTGCCGGCTGGCCGGGCGGGCCCTGGATGGCCGCTGCCGAGGTCTGTGGAACATCTGGCCAGGCCAGGACGGTCATTAGGTGGCAGGCGCCCGGCGCCACTGCCACCTCAGCCTCAGCCGGGGGCCGGCGGTGACTCAATGAGGCCTTTGTGGGCTCTGGGCCGCAGAGCCAACCGCGCTGTGTGCTTGGGCTGCCTGCCCCATCTGCTGCCCTCAGAGAGGCCTTGTTCCAGGACCACACGGCCTCCCCTCTGGAGGCGGCTGGAGTCGGCAGGGATCCGAGAAGCCCCTGAAAGGGACCTCCCCTGGCCGAGAGAAGCCTGAGATTCCCTATGCTTCTTTCCTTTCTGTAGACTCGTAGGCCCAGAGAAGTTGGGTGGCTGGCTCAAAGGTGCCCAGCACACCAGCCACCGTGACTCAGGCCCAGGGGTTTGGAAAGAAGTTGCATAGTCCTTAGGAACTCTTGAATTCCACTCAGATTGCTTGAGATGGACTCCATGTCTACGCGCAAGCTGCCTCGATTCTCTCATTTGCACAACGGAGCGAATACTGGCAGCTACAGCCCAAGACTGAGAATTCAGCGAAATCCTGTATTGAGGTGCTCGGTACATGTAACACTCAGTACCGGGTGCGAGCATTGCAACAGTACTTCTGATTCTCTGCTCATACTTATCCTTCAGCTACCTCCAAATTGTCTGGAAGCGACTGTTATTTCCAGCTGTTGAACCTGCGGCTTGGGCAAGGGAGAGCCCTGGGCTGGGAGCTGAAGGCCCATCTCAGGCCAGTGGCCACCCCCTCCCGCCTGTTTCTCCATCCAGTGACCCTGTACCAGGCAGGTGGATGAGTGCTGTACCTACTGCTCGCCTGGTCCACAGGGGGCTCTCCTGCAGGCCAGGGCCGCTGTCTTCCGCAAACCTTGCAGAAACTCTGGCTCTGGGACCTCAAGCTCTCAGGCCTAGATGGCCCCTCAGAAGCACTGGGCCTAATCCCTTCCCATTCCAGCGTCTCTGGGAGCCCGGACCCTTGTGCTGTGACTGGCCTTGCTGTGGGGAGAGGGGTGGCTCCTAGAAGAAGGATCCTTCTGGCCTTGCGGTAGTCATTTTGGAAGAACCTCGAGAATGGGCAGAATGGGAGCCATGGGGCCTTGATCTCAAGAGCGACCTAGAGTCCAGCATTCTCCAGCTGGAGCCATATGGACATCGGGACCAGGGAAGCTGGCTCCAGTCAGCCTGGGACCCATGAGGCCCTGCCCATTTCTGTGGCTTTCAGATACTGGTCCCCTTGCTGAGTCAGGTCAGCCACTTGACACCCACCCACCCCACCTTTCAACAACCAGCACCGGTCCAACACCCTCACTGCCTCCAAGTGTTGGGAGAAAGGTAGTGAGGAAAACTGGATGGCTGGGGGGAGAGGAGGGCTCATGGGCCCCCTCTGCTGGCCAGGGGGTGCCTTGGGGTACTGAGCTGGCACCCTGGCCACTGGGTGGGCATCCAGGAGGATGGAGGGGCCCAGAGGTCAGGGCCTCCCTCGAGCCGAGTTGTGATGGTCCACCAGGAAGTCCCCAGGAATGGGCTTACAGTAAAGTTTCTGGGGGGGAGATCGTAAACCCAATGCAAGATGCTGGGTGCAGAACCCTTCCAGGAGCGCAGTGGCCTGCCTGAGCAAGGGGATGAGTTTTAATGTGAGGCAAAGTCAGTCCACAATACAAAAATCTAAAAATCAGACCCACATTTCCCACCTGGCACCTGGGGGTGGGCGAAGTTGGGGGCTTCCTTTGCCTGCAGGGGATGGGGAGGGCAGAGGGAGGCCAGAGAAGGGGGAGAGGGAGGCAGGCCCCAGAGGCCCTGCTGGAGGGATCCTGCCACATGCGCCCCTCTGCTGGAGCTGCTGGGCCTCCTGGGGCCTCTGCCTGTGCAGGCCTGTGCTGGTCCATCCCTGCCTGTCTGGTCTGGCCCTCAGAGGGTCAGGCAGCAGCCGCATCATTTCTCCTTCTTCTCCAGCCCCTTTGATGCTGAGGCCTCTGTTCCCTCTTTGGATTCTGTCACTGCCGCTGGATCCTTAGGGCTTGACTCCTCATAACTGACCAAGAAACAAAACAATAAAAACACCACATTTAGAGGAGGGTGAGAGGAGAATCTTTGTGCCCCGCCTCCCCACCATCCCAAGAAACCCCTGGGCTCACGAGGAACATCAGCCCCGCACCCACAGCCCAGCATCTCCCAGCACTTGGCCCTGGCCCACTGTGTGCCCTCCTCAGACAGGCTGCTCTGCTTTCTCTGTGCCCATGGGGCCAGGGGCGGCAAGGACAGCGGCAAATGGACGAGGCTGGGCTTGGGCTTGTGCGGAGCAATTTTAAGCTTCTTGGACCTTCTGCTGGAGAGAATGGGGGAAAAAAGGGCAGCCAGGATGAGGCTATGGGAGAGGGGCGGCCTCCCAGGGCACATGGCAGGAGTCAAACAGCTTGGCCCCAGGGGCGTGGGCAGGCAGGGGGTTGCTCTACTGGCAAGTGGCAAGGTGCCACCTTGAGGGCATATACCCTGGCTTAGCTTACTACAGGCTCTACTCCTGAGCAGCTGAGATCACGCCAAGGACAATACC